ATTCACAGAAACGAAAGTAAGAAACGATAGAGAGTGAACCAGACATTTGTTCTGCATACAAGCAGAGAACGAAAAAGGACGATATGATGTTGATATATGAGATGTACGATAGATATTGCTTCTAAGTTTGAAATTTCTTTTATTTTGATCCAACTGTTCACTGCACTCACTAAGAAATGACAAAATATGAGTTTAAGACGTACCGGATACAGGTCAGTGTATGAGAACGAAATCATTCCCAGAAGTTGGGTTTGTTGTAAATCGAAGAAAAATATTAGCTCTATTTATGTAACAAAATTTGAGCCCTTTATCTTATATGATTGCCGAGATATGAGCAACACAAAGTTGTCAATATGAGAGATGTCGCATTTTTCAAAAGTTGGTCGAAATTTTAAAATGCTCATTTCTCAGCAACCCAGCAATATTTTTTCAAATGAAAAGCGCCATTTTACTCAGAAATGTCTATACCTTCTTTTATGACTGGTTTGAACGAGTTCTGTGAGATACGATTGAGCAGTGTTCTACGTAACGTAGTGGCCGCGTATGTGAAATGGCTCTAAAAGAAAAAGAATAGCATTTGACTAGTACTTACTATTAAGCGGTTTATTTTTAGATGGAAAATGAACGTGAAAACACGGAAAAAGCCGTTCAAAAATACTCTTTTTTTGTATTTGAACTGGATTTTATTAAAACACAATAATGAATAACAATCTTTTTTTTCTTCCTTTTTATAATAGGCATATTTTGTGACGCTATTCGGTTTTATTGTTACTTATTCTGTCAACTTGACAGATTAAGATAAAACTAACTAGAATATTACGCCTCTCCGTTTCCTACGGCAGTTGGAAATACACAAGATATACTGTACGTCTAGTCATTTTTTAGAAAAGGATTCAGTCTACTTTATGAGATACAAGACTGTCAATAACGGGGCTGCATATGAGAAACAAATGTTGGCATCATTTGGTTTATCGAATTCCGTTACCTGAAGACAGTGCTTTCAATTCCTAAGAATTAAGACCATAATTTATTGTCATTCTTCCGGATGCCCCAACACCAGTTTTCCAGTTAACAAAGAAAAGTAAATGAGCCTACACATTACAGTGTTTTGATATTGTTGCTATTCTTTTTCTTCTATTAATCCCACCCACGCTTGTACTTATAAATTTGATTTTGAAAAAGAAAGAAATAAGGCTATGCATTCATTTCAGTATCTTTATATTGTGACCATTCTTTTTCTTCGTTTCAATCGCGGCGTTATTTGCACTTTCACATCATATTTTGAAAACGAAAGAAAATGACATATTCATTTAAGTGTTTTAATGTTGCTGCTATTATTTTCATCGTCTCTAACTCATTTGTCCAATGTTCAGCTCTTCATATCAGTCTTAGAGTGTCAAAGACTGAGTTCAACAACTCTTCTGATCCCATACCTTGTTCTTCGCTCAATGTTTCGGCGCTGCGGGTATTGACATTTGATCTGTTTGGTGCGTTGATGTTGACCGAGTCTTCGTTACATCGCAATATTGCTGCGCTTTTGCCATCGTTGTCGTCGGCTGATGTTGAGAAATTTACGAACGATTGGCTTGACGCATATGGATCATATTTTGGGCAATCATTTTCACCATCGTTGACGCATCAGCCTTTTCTTTGGGTCATTCGCTCATCATTGACACAAATCTTAGCATCATTTGGTTTATCGAATACGGTACCTGAAGACAGTGCCACTTTCAATTCCTTGTTGTCCGCATGGCACGATCTACATCCACGAGTTGGTGCTACAGAAGTTTTAGTAAAACTAAACACAAAATATCAGTTAGGACTGCTTTCGAACGGTGATAAGAATACACTCCAAGCAGCCCGACGTGCCTTTCCATCATCGGTGAATATTTCGTTAATTTTCTCGTCGGATTATCCAGTCAATTGCTTCAAGCCTTGTCCGGAAATGTATGCTCAAGCACTGGCTGCGGTGCATGGTGACAAGACCCAGGTTCTACATATAGCTGGCTCAGCGGTGGATACGCATGGTGCTCGCCGTTTTGGTATTTATTCGGGTGTGTTAGATAGTTCAGCATTGCATACGGAACCAGAACCATGCTTTGCCTTTGATGATATAGAACAGCTGCTTTCGTTCTTCAACGTTTAAAAAGAAACAATAAAGCGCTTTTGTCGTCTGGTAATATTTTCTTTTATTTCTTTGATGTGGTCTTCGTTTTATCTTTTAAGACCATAATTTTTAAGGATACGAGAATTTTTATTACTAATTTCAACTGCAGTTCAACCGATTAAGAGGATAAAATAAAGTACATGTTCATATTCTGAAGTACTTTTGAACCGATTTTTAACTAGTTCATCGCTGTTAGCCATAACGGGTGTACCATAAATAATGTCGATCTCGGTATTTTGCTCTTCTTTAGGTCCCCAGAGCAAATTCCTTTTAATCGCCGCAAAATTCTGTACAAAATCATACCCAAACTTTAATTTCAGAACTTTAATCACGAAAACTAAGCAAATTATACGAACTGCGGAAAAAGTGAGACCGTTGTAAATTTGTAAATTTATGATTTGTCTTGAGAGAAATCTCTCTCAAGAGACTCGCAACGTCGGACATTCTCGATCAGTATCGTTGGTTTCTTGATTCATCGTCTCATCGAACGTTAAGTGAGACTTCACCAGTCGATCGAGTATCTTGCTAAAGACCGGTCACCAGTGAAAAACTGACATATACGTTTTATTTCATATGCGGATTCTATTATCAAAACGGGGGTTATGAAAAATAAAGAAGACTTTCTGACTTATTCCGGCTTACGAGGGAGGTCCCCAGTTATCCCCCCTGGATTTCAATGAAATGTACCCTACTTTGCTAATTTAAGGATGCTGATTACGAATCTGAAAACTATTCGTGCTCTCCTTCAATCCTCGAAGAGTTAAAAGCATTTTATTTTAATAGTAGCGAAAAGTACCGTATTTTGAAAAAACCACAACTTTTGATAGGAATGTTCAATAGAGCTGATAGATATGCCATTCTACAGATAAACACCCTTCATAAACAACTTTCACTGAACAATGAAACCTTCTCGGAAGCCAAAATACATATAATTTTATAGCTAAAGTGTTTATCTGTAGAATGGTATATCTATCAGCTCTATTGAACATTTCTATCAAAAGTTGTGATTTTTTCAAAATATGGTACTTTTCGCTACTATTAAAATAAAATGCTTTTAACTATTCGAGGATTGAAGGAGAGCACGAATAGTTTTCAGATTCGTAATCAGCACCCTTAAATTAGCAAAGTATGATACATTTCATTGAAATCCCGGGGGACACCTGGGTACCTTCCCTCGTTAGTAACATATGAATCAACGTTATTAATTCCCTATCAAATAACTATATTAATTATAACGATGATACACTTTATAGTTTAATGTAAACAATGAATGGTGGGCAAATATAGTTCTTGGCTTTTGAACTATATATCATGATTGACAACGAAATCTCGCTTACTAATTTATTGCTGCGGGAAAAAAAATTTGAACGGTGTCACCAACCGCAACTTTCTCTCAATGTTTGAAGTGAGCAACTGGACATGGAATAGATAGATAAGATAAGATAAGATTTTATTTACTCAAGAGAGCAGGATATCACAAAAAGAACAAGAGACTTGTGGCATCCGTGGATACCCTGTGATAACCTAAAACTAAAAATTTAAAAATATAAAAAAGTAAAC